AATCATCAATTCCATAACTCTCTAAGCTCAGTTCGACCATCACACTTTAATTGTTATAAGTTAAAAAACTAATAAATCAAATTAGACAACTGAAACGTAAGGATTGATATGGCTTTAGTTCAAATAATACTTCTATAATTATATTTATTGTTTTTAAGAAAATCTGAATAAGGTACCATCCTGTTTAAACTCGCAAATAAAGAAACACATCTTAGAACGTAATCCAATAAAATAAAATTGAAAAAAATATGAATACGGTTTCATTAATGATGTTTTCACCCAATGGAAATGTTGTAACATCACCACTTGATTGAAACCTGAGTTACTAAATGATCGTGCTTATGAAATTAAATTATGAAGAGAGATAAAACTAAGTCCCTAAAGATGTGTTCTGATAATAGAATCATTACCACGATAAATTTTATAAAAAAGCTCCCTTAGACTAAGAAAACAAATAAAAATAATTGGGCACAAAAAAACACCATTAAACCTACAGACCCTAACCGATAAGAAATTAGAAAAGAAAATATCAGAATCTAAAATGATTCCAACTAAAGAATATGTTATGGCCACTCCAATATGTTGACGAATATGTCAATAGAATACATGGATGGTTGTTTCAAGGTTTTTGCAAATGAAACTTTATATGACCAAAATTCTAGGAAGATAGGAGATTCCCACACGAGAAAATTTTTTCCAAGTGATAGAAATTCTCCAACAGAGGTACGCATCTCCCTCGTGAGAGGAAAAACCTCTCCTAACAAAGAAAATGTTTCCCCAAGTAAGGAGATGAGTGATTCCAATTCCTTGACGTGCAATTTGGAGAACCAAATTGTTTTAAGGATTGGAGATTTTTAATATCCAAGTGGGTACAAAAGAGAAAAAATAAAATAAAATCTATATATAATTAATTAAAAATGAAAAAAAAAAGAGGAGAAAAAGAAAACAAAAAAAAAATAGCCTAGTGGCATACATCCCTTTGAAAGCAAAAAAGGGAGTCTAAGCATCTGTTCATATACATATGTGTGTGTATATATATATAATTAGATAAAATAAAAAAAAAAAAGAATAAAGAAAACAAGAACTCAGAGGTGCACTTTGGGAGGAAAAAAAGGAAACACATGACCATATAATATATATATATATATATAATTAAATAACATAAAAAAAGAAAAAAAAATAGAGGGAGAAGAGAGAGGGCTAAGCGACTGGAAAAGAGAGGGAGGGTGAGAGAGAAAGGTCGCGACAGAGAGAGGGAACGACGAGGGAGATCTAGAGAGGAGGTGGGTCACGCGGTGTTTGCGACATTGTGTCCGAAGGAGAAAGAAATAAGAGAGAAGAATCATGGTCGGGAAGAGAGAGATAGAGAAAGAAGAAGAAGAATAATAATAATAATAAAGGAAAAAGAAAGAAGAAGAAGAGAAGAATAAAGGAAAAAAGAAGGAGAAGAAGAATAAGAAGGAGAAGAAGAGGAAGAAGAAAGAGAAGAGAGCGCGATGGACTTACTGGAGAAGAAGTTCTGTATGTGCAGACGTAATAGCCATGGCACAGCGAAAGAGAGAGGAAATAGCAGCAAGGAAGAA